CTTAATTTGCATGTACCACTCACAACTTGCTGCACGCCGTCGCCGTGCGTCTATCTTTTCTTTCTTATTGTCACTTGCTAATCACTCTAAACCTGTCTCACAGGTGTAGCTCAACCTCTTCAACCTCACAACTCACACGCGTACACAATTCAACTTGCAGGGACTCAGTGACGACCAAGACGTGGTGACAAAGATTACTTCGAACGTGTTAATCCTTTACCGATGCAAATTCCGCTCGCAAAAGAATGAGGCAGAGGCAGCTAGTGGTGCAGGGGTTGGGATTGTAGAAATAATGTATTAATTACTATTTTTGTATTCTATAATTTAAATATAATTATATTTGATTAATTATTTGATACAAAATTGTATACTAAGCAAAAGCAAACCATTCAAATGCTTGTAATAACTTATAAGCATTATAAGCAGATATTATACTTTCTCAAATAAATAAGTATGTCTTAGTCTTGTAATCTTAGAAAGTGTTATAATCACTTTTATAACTTGACAATTTATAAAATTATAATAGAAATTGCCAAGTTTTAAAAGTATTCTTACTTACTTATCTAACATTGTACTGTCATTACTTAACCCCCCAGGAAGATTATAAGTAATTGGACAAATTTTATAAAATATACAAAATATACAAGATTACAAGCAAGTATAATACTTAAGACTTTTTCGTGATGCATTAGAAGAATATGAGCACTTGTATCCAAGCTTGAATATTTAGGAAGGATTTTCCTGAATGGCACACTACATATTCAAGCATTACAAGCCTTAGCACACACATATGTATATCAGAGACAATCTCCTAAACTGCCGTTCAGCACCCTTGTAATGCAAGGTAGTGGTCCCACTCGTGTGATGGTGAATACAACAACTGTTTCGGTTGACACAGTGTTGTGCAAAAATAGATGAAGGGCAAACGATTTGATGGATATATTGATGCCCCTTACTACAGCAGTTATAACGACCGTCTGTTGCAGATGTAGTAAATGTGTTTAATGTTATTAACACCAAAGTCATGATGGTTGTTAAAGTAACCACGGATGTAATCATCGTTTCTTGCCTCAAAGCAGCTTTGTCACTTGACAATAGTTTGACTTACGAGAACTGTAAACACTACGAATATATGACGTTAGTGGGACCAAATGACAACAAAATGTTGATTATGTCATGTGCCAACACGTGTGTTAGACAGACTCAGATCTTGAGACATCCGCAACCTTTCTTATCTTATAATATATCTATATTTTGCATTTACAGCTGCTTACTCTCAGTTCTAAAAACTTACAAAAGTATCAAACTTGGTACGTCCAGGCCCAAGGCTTTCTCTCCCCAGTGATCCATGACGTCCAGCAAGCTTGTTTGGCGGTCGGTGGCTGGAGTCCGCTGGACTCGTTGCCCTGATGTGCTGTAAGGTTCCTCACATGCAACCAACTCTGGATAAAGGGCTAATTTTAATTTAGTTTCAGAAGGCTAAATCAGATTATCGAATTGATGCTCTAACTCAGCACTGAGGAAGGTGTTACAATTGGAGATACCTTGATGGGATGAATCCGTGAAGATTCGCTCCTAGCAGTAACAGATCATCAAACAGAAATATTTTCTCCCTATTCAGAAACGGTACAAGTCCTTTTCCCGGTGACTATTCTGTGTCTCCTTAAGACAGTGCAGAGATTGATCCGACTGTTTGCTATGCAACGCCTACACGATGATACTTGCTCTTACTGGAGCGGGTTTCAGCCGGAATGCTCTCATACTAAGCGTTGCTGGATGAAGGATAATAACCTTATCGCACCAACCCACCAACACAATAATTCTTATAAAGAGAATGTCCGTCTCGGAACCATATCTCTCCATGACATCTTTTTCTATGGCAAACCAGACTCTTGACTTCGGAAAAGCCTACACGTTCTCCACCCGCTCAGATGACGAGCCTGTTGATCCAAGCTTGGTGCAATTGCTTTTATCCGAGATCATAACTGGAAAGTACTTTGGTGTGGCACTGTTGACTATTTTGGTCTACAACGCTCGTTCGTGAGATGATTGCTCGACCCAGAACCTCACTGACAGAAAGCACAATTCAAGTCACGACAATGGATAAAGAGGTATGATGATGTTCAATGAACTCTCGAGCGCTCGCTGAACCGTGTCTCTGTAGATAAAACACTTCTGGGTGAGTGTAATACTCACTAGCGTGGATCAATGACGCATTAATGGCGGTAAAGTCCAAGCCACGCAACACTATTAGTTTGATTTATTTCGCGGTAAGACTTGCCGTGGTGAATTGAGGCTAGAATTATACTAACGTCGAGATACAGAATCGCTACATTGGGCTTCTTGGGGCGATTTGTATTCTAAATACAAACGGTGAGCAAACTTGTACTTGATCCACTATCCGCAACAAGTCGTTTACAAGGGTGTTTCACTCCAGGTACTAACTTCAATCAAAGTCTTCTCAGGTAGAAAGTAAACATCACCATTCAGAAGTGCATGCTGACCTCGAATTCGAATACATATTACTTGCAGCTGTATGTTTCTTTTCCCCTCCTGGCCATTCGTATTTAGAATTGACTCTATGGTTAGGTCAGGCAATTGCATGGACTGGCGACGTATGCAGTAAGCCGCCTCCTGTTACTCAATACAGCTCCCCGATGTGACGCAGGTGTCAGGCTTGATCACTATTGTTCTTATAGATTGTAGCTGAATACTCCGATTCTTCATATAATTGTTACTTACATGGCCGTTTGTAGACATTCTTCAGATCCGTGTATTGGCGCTTTTCCAACGAAGTAAGTACAATGGCGTTTTATGTAGTTTCTGGAACCTAAATTTTGGCAGATAGAAGACTTTCTATCTGTCTCAAGGCGCTTCTTGTTATAGAAATAGGCGTTGGTTTCGGTCTCCTTATTCATGACAATCTATTTGAAGATAGTAAGTGTTTCAATCAACGTGTTGCCTTGCTTTAATGTCAACTGTGGCGTAATTGGCTACAGTTTCTCTTTCCCGCCTGGCACAGGGTGTCGAAGTGTGCGGGATTATCAGGGATCCTCTGCAGTCGTTGTCAATTATCTCTTGGTGAGCGATTCACCGACATGTCCCGATCCGCACTAATGTAATACAGGACTGTACCCCTGACATATGGGACTATTCTACTTTGTTTAGCCCTCTTCCAAGCAGCAGAGTACTGGCAAATATCAGCCGGATTCAAAGGCTTGCATCTTCTCAGAGTCCTCATTGAAGACCAGGTTATATATTACGGCTTGTAAGTGAACCGAGTTTACACAAATACTTGACTCAAATTACTATAGCTTGATATTTTGTTGCGCACTGAAGATAGTTCAAATTCGAATAATAATTTCAAGTCCTTTCGTCGCAAACCTCTTAACCGCAGCTGGAAATCCTACTCTGCTCTGTGTCCTCGGGAGTCACCTTTTGATCAATCTGAAGGAGGCAGGCGAAATGGGAGTGAACGAAGGGACAAATTATAGGTCAAGGACTGTTAGTAACATCAGTTTCGCCGAAGGTGTGTCCCCCTTCTCTTTCAAAGTTTCTGCCTTTGACTCATCTAACACGTTCCACTGGGAGGCCCTATCGCAAACGCGTCAAATGATGAAAGCTCGTCGGCAGTCTAGAACATTAATCCACACCTTTTCGACCCAGCGTTTGTGCGTAGATATGTGTGGAAAGGCCGTGTTCATTAGATTTTTGAATATTTTCTGTGCTCTTTATTTGTATTTCTTCTCGGACTCGCCCTGGATTCTCGTGGAATGCCTAGATCATCTTGTTCAGTGACCGAGCTTGTATGTCATTCCGTGCGTGGTAGTTATTTGTTTGTACGAATTTTATCCACCGTGTTTTATTATTTTTTAAAACTTGTCACGTGATGCTCCTCACGGCAGGTTAGACTCGGAGCTTCGATGAGGCAAGACGTAATTTCCCCACTCGGCAACTTTTTTTTTGAATTTTAATTTTTTGATGTGCAGTTCAGCATCCACTGACTTCACTCCATCATCGCGCACCATCATAAAGATTTACGCGCAAACATTCTTGCTCGTTCAATCTGTCTCTCTTGGTTACATATAGATGCTACGATCGGAGGAATGTCTCCATTTGAGATGTTTTCTCGCCCGAGTTTTGTGCCGAGGAATATACTCTTAATCACGCAATTACACTTGACGTGTTCTCCTTATATATATATTACTCTCCCTATATACAAATTGCTCTCCCTATATACATATTGCTCTCACCAGCATGTCATTGTTAAATTATGGGCACTCTGGCCTCTATTCGCCACTTAAACCTCTGATACCTATCAGTTGGGACCAATGCGACTCGCTGTCGCTTTCATCTGTGCCCTCTTTGCATGGAACAGCGCAGCAACATCCAACGTTACCATTGACGATGCATTTGGTAACCCAAATACTGGAGGCCACATTTTATATTTTCCTTCTACATCTTGGCAACGCGGAGATGGCTGCACAACATGTGCAGCAAAGCCACCTGCGGGCACCGGTGCATACAGGGGAACGTGGCATGAAGCGTTGTTTGAACCTGCGAATACGTCTACGCCGAACAGTAACAACGGAAAAATAATTAGCGCTTCAGCGACCTTTACAGGTTAGTTTTAGAAAGTTTTGTATGGAGTTCGTGGGCTAATGGGCGTATTATTATAGGAACCGCTGTGTATGTGAACTGTATACTGACTGGTTCGACTGCCAATCCCAATGGCAACACGGACCTAACGTTTTTCCTCGACGGCAACCAAGCCGGTACTTTCCGACAAAATCCAAATGGCGACACAACATACAGACTACAAACTGTCTTTGCTGCAGCCGGCCTTTCGGACGCGCAACACACTATACGACTTGAGACCGGTAATGCTGGACAGGAAGCGCTTGTCCTTTTGGATTCGATTATATACACGTACGTTCGACCAAAATTTTGATTTACTTGTTTCTCATGCGTATGAGCCAGGTCGCAGGATGATTCAGTAGAAACCACCACTATTTCGGGATGGACGAGAGGTGTAAATATCCCTCCGAGTATTTCACCTCCGGCCGAGACCGTCACCGGTAGTTCCAATTCCGGTGGATCAGGCTCCAAGACAAATGTGGGAGTGATCGTCGGGCCCATCTTTGCAGTGATAACCATCGGCGTCCTTGTCAGCATTTGGATTTGTCTGCGGAAACGACCTCGAAGTCGAATACTAGTATCTGAACCCCCCTCAAGTTGCCGACAGTCGATATGCACATCCAATACGCAATATCCTAGATCACATAATCCCTCAAGTTACGAGCAGTCATCATACACGTCCTACCTACAGTATCCTAAATCATATACGGAAGGTGGGACGTACTCGGAGGTCTCGGGGTATGGCACCTATTCTGCGGTATCGTACATCACTCCCAATCCTAATTCGTCTGTCGCTGCGGAAGTACGAGGGCCTACGAGAGCGCCCGTCCCACAGCCAGCACCGTCCTGGGCACACCCTCATACCATGATTTTGCAAGAACCCAGAAGAGCCGTTCCTGCTCGCCATATTCCACGCTCGTGTCAGAGTGATATCGTTTGAATATTGTGTTCTTCGTGTCCTTAATTCTCTGTTTCCTTCCGATGGATGCTCTTTGTGACGTATCTGTAACATTTCTTAGTTTCGGCATTTCATTATAATGGATACCTCGTGGAAATTACTCTGTGTAAATAGAATTTTCTGTTTCTAAAAGAGCTAAAATCAGGACCGTTGAATCATTTGAGTGCATCGTAACAATCACCGTGTGTAAGTTCTCTCCGTATGAGAAACAGGGAGTGCATTCAAGGTGCAGAAAGGAGGCCTGTGAGAGTTTTCTGGACTATGTCTGCTGCAGCACGGACTGTTTCTCGCTCGCTACCATCCATTATGCGTGCCAATACACGTGTTGTGAATTTGTCTGGATGCCAATTCTTCAATTCGTTCTTAACTACGAGACGTTCTTCCTTCTTCGTTAACAAAGCCGCTTTTTGTGTCTCCGTTGACGAGAATGCACTGAGATTTACAGTACGACGCTTTGTATGGCAGATAAACTCGCGTACACAGTTTGGTGTGATGTCAGAAGGAGTGCAGGGAATGGTGAGCGAAGGCCATGGAATGCTCGAGAACTGGAGTGGCACGTTGCTTGAGAGGGTAGAGATGCTTGTCCACTGAGATTCGTACCACTTGAAGTGTGCAATGAGTGGGTCAACAGGTTTGGACCTTGAAGAGGCCTGTGTGGACGATGTAGGGTTAAAGTTCTTGCTGCTATATGTGGAATGTGATGTCGATGGACGCTTGCGCGAACTGGACGCGTTTCGTTTCCTACGCTCCGCCTCTTCCTTCCGCTCCTTCTCCTTCTGTGCGTGCATCTCCTCTGCAGTCCTGCGCGACTTTTCTCGATTGGAAGCCTCCCTTTCCCATAGCCTCTTGACTTTCTCTATCTCGTACTGATTCGTCCTTCGAAACGCCTCGAAATGTTTGTAAACTCGGGTAAACTCTGTTTCACTGATATGTCCCTTCCATACAGACTGTGTGTAGTCATTGAAATGTTCTGCAAATGCTTTGCTAGCTGACAGATATCTGTCAGAGTGTACCCGAATGATTTTATCGTCTGCTGTCTCTCCTGGATATTGGGCCTCAAATGATCTCCGATGTTCTTCTGCCTCCTCGAATAGTTTCATGAGCCGGACAAGCTCTTTCTGCTGCTTTCTGTTAATGTAGTGTGTACTCATTGAGTCAAGATGAAGTTCTTCTGAGAGATGGGCTATGATGTGCTAGAGTATTGATCTAGATGATAGTGTAGAGCAACACACTACAATAACCTTGCTGAGGTAGTAGTATATACATTTTTGTGAGATAGACAGATTTGGCAGGAAAGTAGCAAAAAATAGACAATCTGATCTCATCTAAACAAATATTCCCTTGTTCATCTTTTTCTTGCCTTGTATTCGAACTTCCATACAATATTTTATAAAAGGACTTCAGGGCAGTCTCTAAGCAACACCTGTACACTCCTAACTGATTTACAAGAAAAACTCAAGAGCAGTGCTTGTCATGTGATAAACTCAGTACTGGGGATTCCACTCAATATCTACACAATAACATTGATCTGTATTACCCAGTCGGTTTCCGGTTCCATGTTCCACAGTGATCAAGAAACACCTGCTATTCTTTGGTACCAGACAAGGAGGCTCGGAGACCAACGATCTTAGGGCACACAATCGCCTACGACGGACTGTCCTGCAGACACCTTGCATGAGGTTATCTTCTCCGACTCGTGATCCGACTTCACTGCAAATAACCGCAGCTATTTTTCAATGCCTGACCCATCGGAATCCAAATTGCTCTACGGTCCTCGAGTTAACTTACCCCGCAGTACCGGTTAACACGGAAAGAGTCCTCGACGCCATATGTCGCCCCCAGCTCTCCATTCCCTCCATTCTATTCCGATAAAAACCGCGGCCTTGCATTCACATGTGTGCAATTATCAGCCGCATACTTGTCCGAAGAAGACGCATTGGGGGCCGAGTCATTGGAAGCGGGCAGAAGGAAACATCGTCGCCAACAGGTATAAAGCGTCTCAAGCGGAAACGAACGTGCGGCTCTTGTCATTTGGCTTTATCCTTTCTCCTTGGCTAGCCTTGAAATTTTAATAATGGCTTTCGGATTAGCATTTTTGTCTTTTCTGCTTGCGTTACCGTCCGTGTTTGCGCAACTCTCAGGCAGGGTGGGACCTACGACTCCGCTATCCGCAAAACAAGCGACAATATGCAATGTTCTCAACTTCGGCGGGTCTGTCGGGTCTAGCGTAGGTCTTCATTCGTCCTATCTTTCTCTGAGCGACTGGCCATTACATGCACGCTGTTCGGACACTAGGACATCGGACCAGCTATCGGGAACGCGTTCACGAATTGTGTGCTGAAGAATCCTAACGGCTCGACATTGTATGTCCCTGCGGGAAACTACAGCATGCAGACTTGGCAGACACTCAAAGGTGGCTCGAAGTGGGCTTTCCAGATGGACGGTGTTATCACTCGTAACAGTGGGTTGCAGTCCTCGTCCCCATTCACCAACCACCATTTCTCAGACTCCCCTATCCTCGTTCCGTGTCTCCTCCTGACGCCGAATTAAACTGGGACGGAGACTTGACTGATATTACCTCGGATACCTCACAGGCACGACGGGTGAGAATATGATCGTCATCCAGAACGCGAACGACTTCGAGTTCTTCTCGAATAATAGCGCGGGAGCAATTCAAGGAAATGGCTACCTAGCTCGCAATGCAGGGTAAACGGGCAGTCCCTTCCTTTCGCCTTCTCTACAGTCGGAGTGATGGTAGTGCTGATCCGAATTTGTGTTTTCTTTCTTTCCTGCGGGCGTGCGGTGTCTTCATGTGAAGACCTAGGCTGGTTCGTATCGTGAATTCAAACAATTTCTCGATGCATGATTTGATCTTGGTCGATTGTGAGTATTAGTCTCATACGCTGTTGCTAAAGTGCATATACGTAGGCTTACCCAATTCTAGCTCCTGTGTTTCACCTGGTCATCCAACAAGGCTCAAACGGGGAGATCTACAATATGGCTATACGCGGGGCAAACATCGGTGGATCAGATGGGATCGATGTCTGGGGTAGGAACACACGTTCCACTCCTTATCCTCTCATATTCCAATTCCTGATCCACCTGTATTGACGTACTAATTTTCGCTCTCCACATACACTTACATTAGGCACGAACTACTGGATCCACGACATAGAAGTCACTAACCGGGATGAATGCGTCACCGTCAAGTCACCTGCGAGCAACATACTCGTCGAGCGAATCTGGTGTAATCAATCCGGCGGGTCTGCTATTGGTTCCCTTGGGACAGGCACAGCAATCCAGGACGTCCTCTATCGGAACGTCTACACGAACGGCGGGAACCAGATCTTCATGATCAAGTCAAACGGCGGGAACGGAACTGTGAAGAACGTGGTGTTCGACACATTCTTGAGTCGCGGCACAGCGTATGGACTAAATGTGGACCAGTATTGGAGTGAGCTGGCAGAGCAGGCTGGTGATGGCGTGCAGCTGCGTAATATCACGTTCAAGGTACGTTCCTTTTTCTTCTCCCTTCCCCAAAGCTCTTCAAAGTGCAATCGCAATCTCTTTTGGCCAATTTTTCTAACGCTAATAAACAGAACTGGGATGGTGCAGTTATCGATGGCGTCCGACGCTCGCCAATACAGTTTCTCTGCGCCGACGGGGCACTCTGCACGGGCATGACTCTCCAAAATGTCAGCCTCTGGTCGGACACCAACGCGGCAACCAATAAGTGCCGTAGCGCGTTCGGTTCGGGTGCGTGCCTCCGCTCCGGGACACCGTCGAGCTATCCAGCGGTGACAACAACGATTAGTCGACCTCCTGGCTACTCGACTCCACCTACTCTTTCAGGCGACTTGTCGACAGGATTTGCAACAAATTCGTCTATTCCGATTCCGTGAGTCCTTCTTTCGTGCTTGACAGGGTTTTCTTTGGGTCTGCATGATCGGAGTGGGTTTCGGAGTGTTGGAGCTGATGATTTTGGTGTGTTAGGACGATTCCAACGATGTTCTTTCCTGGTCTCCCGCAGATCTCGCCACTGGCGAAGAACTCTTAATCTATCGATTGGTCGGTCGGCGCAGCTGGGTGACATGTACAGTAGACTATAGTTTGATTTTGGCCCTGTCTCGACGTCATGCCTCTCTGTATTTATGCCTATCAGCTTTTCGTTTGAATGCTGTCGATCTTTATTTGATTAAAGTCAGCAGACCCTTCTTGTCTTAAGCGGATGAAAGACAGTGCATCAGTAATAACTTATTGCACACGTATGTATACATTAAACACCTGTTTCATATCCACATTATTACCTGCATATCTGCGCCTAGTATAGTGGCTCGCCTACCAAGTGCTAAATCCCACCACCTCATTGCTTCGTTCTTTGGCTGTGCTGCCCGGTACACATAGAACACTGCAAAGGGGGAAGCAAAGATGATGAGCGGGTGTGCAATGCACGCGTGCGAGGCGTGCTAGAACTTAGAACTGTCTGTCGAGGACAACTTATCGAACAACATTTCCTCCTGCTAGGACAAAACGTTGATATTGGCTGGGCTGGGTACAGTGAATCAAAGGTGTTAAGCTGAAGAGGTTCGTCGACTCTCGACGTGTTAGCTGCACGTGATGTTGCTTGCCAATAATAAATTATGTACAATTTACGCTCGATTACGTCCTCAGTACCCGACTTTTGCTCTTGCCACCAGGAGACGAATTCAATGACGGGTTCTTCTACTCTTTTCTTATACTTGCTAGAGTAGACCATATGACTCTCTTTCGCGAAAAAATATTAGCTTGCTTACAGTGGAGGTTATCTTGGCGACTACTTCAGGAGGCGTTCCGTCTTCTCCTTCACCTGGTAAATTCGCGGGGCATCAAGCATTAGACCACGGGATCTCACTGAAACATAAAGAGTCTAAAGTGGAGCCTGCGTTCATGCGACATACTGAAGTTCTCAGTCTGGCAATTGGCTTTTTGACGTCATACTCTCATCAGGTTTCCTGAACAACGCTCTCAGAACACACGTCGGCCCGTTATTTCGCTCCGTTTACTACTCTTCCAAGAGTCTAGCGGCCCGCCAGATGCAATAAGGACTCTTCGCAGGCTCTTTTTCGGTGCCACGCTGCCTGTTCTCAATAATTCTAATTAACGTTGATCTGCAGTGTCCTACCCGGTTCCAGTTCTTGTTACCAAATAAAGCCAAGAAGCACATGCTCTTCTTCTCAAATAACAGAGAAGTAGACTCGGAGACCAACGATCTCTGGCCACGCAATCACCTACGACAAATGTCCTGATTTTCCCGTAAATACTTTGCACGGGTTTTTCTCCTTTATGAACTTAAAGCAACTCGTGACCTTGCTGGACTATGTCGCTGCGAATATTCGCGCGTATTTCTCAATGCCTGGCCCGTGTAATCCGGAATCTAAAGCCGTTTCAAGATTCTCATATTAATTTATCCCGGTGCCGGCTTGCCAGCACAGAAATAGTCCGTGACACTGTATGTTGTATCCACTTTGCTATGCCTGTTTCTATTCTGGCGAAAACTCCAAGCCTACGTTCACGTGTACACAATTACGATCCGCATATTCGCCTGAATAAGATGTATTGCCGAGCAAGTCAATGGACTGGGACGGCGAGAAAATACCGTCGTCAGCAAGTATAAAGTATCTCGGGAAGGCGAACGAACGGTGGCCTCTGCTCTTCGCTTTTCTCAGGATTGTAACAATGGCTTTCGGTCCAGCGTTCTTGTCTGCTCTACTTGCCTTGCCTGTAGCGTTCGCTCAGCTCTCGGGCAGGGTGGGACCTACGACTCCTCTTTCCGCTAAGCAAGCGACAATATGCAATGTCCTCGACTTCGGCGGGTCTGTCGGCTCCAGTGTAGGCCTCCGTCAATCCCCTCGTCTTCTGGGTTGTAAACATTGACATGCACGTTTTTGGAATACTAGGATATTGGACCAGCTATCGGGAACGCGTTCACGAACTGTGTGCTGAAGAATCCTAACGGCGCGACGCTGTACCTCCCGCCCGGGAACTACAACATGCAGACTTGGCAGACCCTCAACGGAGGCTCGAAGTGGGCTTTCCAGATGGATGGGGTCATCACTCGCACCAGTACGCTATCATTTCTTATTTCTCATTCTCCATCCCCGCTCCTTGCTGCTTGATCGCCGAATAAATTCGGAACGGAGATTTGGCTGATATTACTTCGGCTACTTTCCAGGCACGGCGGGCGGGAACATGATTGCCATCCAAAATGCGAATGACTTCGAGTTCTTCTCAAGTAACAGTGCGGGCGCAATCCAAGGAAATGGCTTCCAGTGTCGTAACGCAGGGTACGTTGGCCGCCCCTTCCTTCCCTATTCTGACTCTAATGTTACATTAATGCTAATATTGACCGTATCTGCTTTCATTGCGTCTTTTCTCGGCATGCGGTAATATTATGCGCAGACCTAGGCTGGTTCGCATCGTGACCTCGAACAACTTCTCGATGCATGATTTGATCTTGGTTGACTGTGAGTAATAATCATATGCGCCCCAGACCCAATATGGCAATTATAGACTCACCTGGTTTCAGCGCCGGAGTTCCACCTCGTCATTCAACAAGGTTCAAACGGAGAGATCTACAATATGGCTATTCGCGGGACGAACCTCGGTGGATCTGATGGGATCGACGTCTGGGGTACGTACAACCTTTGCTCTATCCTCTTCGGTTTCAATTACAATTTCAAACTTTCAAAACTTTGACGTACTGGACATATACTCACCCCACCTTACTTACTAGGCACAAACTACTGGATCCACGACATCGAAGTGACCAATCGGGACGAATGCGTCACCGTCAAGTCACCCGCGAACAACATCCTCGTTGAGCGAATCTGGTGCAACCAGTCCGGCGGGTCCGCCATCGGGTCTCTCGGGACGGGCACGGCGATTCAAGATATTCTCTACCGGAACGTCTACACGAACGGCGGAAACCAGATCTTCATGATCAAGTCAAACGGCGGAAGCGGATTCGTTAAGAACGTGTTGTTTGATACGTCCTTGAGCCGCGAGACTGCGTATGGGTTGAATGTGGATCAGTATTGGAGCAGCGAGGCGACGCAGGCGGGAGATGGAGTGCAGTTGAGTAATATTACGTTCCGGGTAGGCATCCTTCACTTCTCCCATTTTCCTCCCAACAACCTTACATTTCCTGTTCTGAATGCACGAATAGAACTGGGACGGTGCAGTCGTCAACGGCGTCCAACGTTCTCCCATACAAATTCTCTGCGCAGACGGGGCACCCTGCTCAGAAATCACGCTGCAAAACGTCAATCTCTGGTCGGACACCAACGCCGCGACTAACAAATGTCGTTCTGCGTTCGGCACGGGCGCACCGTGTCTACGTTCAGGGACACCGACGAGCTATTCGGCAGTGACGACGACGATCAGTCGCCCTGCTGGGTTTACGACTCCACCCAGTCTGTCGGGTGATTTGTCGCAAGGGTTTGCGACGAATTCGCCTATTCCGATCCCGTGAGTCGCCTTTTTCCCTTCTTTTTTGGGACGAGTGCTTTAAAGAGTGAATGTTCTAATTGCGGATGTATGCTGATGTATTTGGCGCATTTAGGACGATCCCGACAACTTTCTACCCTGGTTTGCCACAGATCTCGCCACTGGCGAAGAACTCTTAATATGTTTGATATTGGAGCCATCGAGTAACTGGCGCAGACTGAAGTTTGATGTCGGTTTTTTTTCAACATCATGTCCCTCTGTAATTCTATATACTTGGCTTTCAATTTGAAAATGCGATTGGAAAGCCGTGAGACTGAATGATTGAGGCAAACGGACCATCGTCCCAAAGTAAATGGCAATAAACAAATGCATCAGTATTAATTTATAGCGCATATATTGATCAGGGGTTAAAAATGGACATCAATTGCGGATTCCGTTCCTGGGTATCCAAATGCAATGATGCTGACAGCAGGAAAGCGACAGGAAACATAAGAGTCTTTTTAACAACGAAAGCAAAACAAGAATAGCACGCACAGGTAGATCCTCAGTCCGAATGAAAAATTGTGGCAGTATGCATGCAAAGCGAGGATTATCCAACGAGCTCAGGCTCGTGGTCAGCACCCATGACCTAGCAAAATTCGACCAAACAGGACAGACACAGAGGGTAGAAAATATCAATCAGCTACAATCGGTTCGTCAAATCCGACGACTGCATCTACCGCTTTCGCTATTGTCCCAGCCTTCTCCAACACTCCTTCGTCATCACTATTCCCACCAGACGATCCATCTCGGGAATATGCTTTCCCGTCGTTATTATCGGATAAGAAGACGTTGGCAGCAGGTGCAGTCGAGCCAGCGGCAGAAGCAGAAGACGAAACCGACGAAGAGAGAGACGAGATTGTTTTAGGTGCGACGTGTTGGTGTACTGCGTCTGACAAGGCAGATGCGAGGTCTGTAGGCTGCATTCCGATGATGGAGGCAATGGCGTGTACGTGACTCTCCAGTTCACCCTCTTTCGACCCTGCGCTTCCACTTTGCCCACCAGGTTGATAATACCCGCGTTCTCCCTGATTCGTATTAATATTCCCTCCTTGTCCTTGCACACCCGGTGGTCTCCTACCAAGTGCGAGGTTCCACCACCCGCCTGCCTCGCTCTTCCATTGTACAATTCGGTACGCGTAGAACGCTGTGAAGAGGACTGCGAAGATCGTGAGGAGGTGTACGACTCGGGAGAGGGAGACGTGTTGGAGAGGTTTGGATACGTCGTGGCGGACGACCTTGCCCTGCCGTTTGGGTGGGAGGTCGGATTGGTCTGTTTGGGGTGGTGTGGTGCGTTGACGGGATGACATTGTGGGTGCTAAAGAGTCTTGAGTGTGTACTAGGTATTACTATAAATTGATGCAGGTGAGGGAAGAGGATGGAGGATGGAGATAGAGGTACACTGAGCAGTTGACGAGACATGGTTTTAACTTTTGAGAGTTGACGGCAGGCTACGTCATTGGCGTCCAGACTCCAGAGGCAAGTGTGGAGACTGACGCGTGACGTAGTCGCGTCGCGTCAAGTCAATAATCTTCATTCAAGTGCTTTGATCTAGTCCTCCTAGGTCAGCACGAAAAGAGTATTCAGATGTTCTATTGCTCGTACATCCAAACAATATAATTTACATTCCTTGTTTTATACGAAAGAAAGAGCAAGCATATATTTACAGCCAGCTATTTTGTTCAACAAGGTGGTGCATGCATCCAGGGAGCCAAAAGAATGAGAGGTCGGTATCACTGTCAACCAGACCAAATCCTACTTAATTAAATAATACTTAAGAGGAGAAAGTCGAGCCGAGGGGGCCGAATTTGATGTTGGAGAAGGTAACCTTCGCGTTCGGGCTCTGCGACTCGACCTCCGTGGGAGCACCAGAGTCAGTCGGGCAGTTACCACGAGCGATACCAGGCTGCGATGGGTCGGCGTCAGTCGGGTAGTCGCTGTCGAGCCACAACATCTGCGCCGCGTAGTCGTCCCATATACTCATGACGAGGACCATACCCGTGTCGAATGCATCGCCCATCGTCGCGAGACCACCCATCTGCTCGAATGTGTTGGTGTCACCGAAAGTCGTCTTCTGGGCATTGCAGAAGTCATCCGTGATCGAGTTGCCTGCGGGAATTCCTGGGATGTTGACGTTCGAGTTCTGGATAACTTTGCCATTCTGGACGTAGATGCGGCGGATCTCAGAGAGCTGGCCAGTCGTTGTGTTGTCGGCGGTCAAGAACTGAGTAACAACTGTGATCTTCTGGCTGGTGTCAACAGTCATGCCTGGGCCGAGGAAGGTCTGGTCACCCATGCGGAAGGAGTTGAAGTCACAGCCGTCCTTGTCGCAAACACCATCGTAGCGATCATCGCCAGCACCACAGTCAGTGCCCTCGCAGCGAGTCTGGCCCTGGACTGTGCAGACGTGCGGCGTAACGGCAGCGCCCATCGAGTTAGCCTCCCAGACGTCCATTTCGTTACAGCAGGTACCGAACTGGCCGGTTCCCGCGTTCGGGTCGCTGGCGGACGGCTCCCAGCCTTCGACGTTGGCCTGAGAAAAAATGCATGTAAGCCAAAGCAGAAAAGAGCAATCCGAATATGGTAACATACCTCTCCGTTGATGAACTTGATGTCCTGCGGGCACTGAGTGTCGCAGTAGCCAGTTCCGAACTTGGCACCAGCCTTGTTGCTGGGGAACTTGGACACACCACCATCCGAGTCCATCTCCACGAAGTAGAGGGCACCATTCAGGCCACACGGGAGGGTGGACATGTCGACATCAAAAGTGAATTCTTGATTCTTGAGCTTGAACATCTGGTATGTGCTCTCGTCCTCGAGGAGGTAGACACGAGAACCGACGTTCTTTCCAGAGGACTGGGTCACGAACGTGAGTGAGAGCGCATCGCCAGATGTCGAGATTCCGTAAGTGCCGGAGTAGTCAGCACCATCGAGAGCGCAGTTTGCAGCGCAAGTCGTGCCGTCAGGGCAAAGAGAAGTGTCCCACTCGTTGCCGGTGTAGCAGTTCGTGTAGCCAGTCGTGTCGTGTACCCAGCGCCAGTTTGAGTCGAGGACGACGGACCTGGACTGTTGTGTGCAGCTGCCTCCTGCAGTACATTCAGAGACGGAGAGTGTTGGGTGGGTTTCAGCCGTGACGGTGCCTGCCTGCTGGCCGCGAACAACGGCGGCGAGGGTGAAAGCGAGGAGAACTGAAGCGCGGAACATTGTTTCCTATGCCAACTGCCTGTAGATGAGTAACCGAAGCGGTGATGTAGACTGCAACGAACTCAGATGCTCCTTATATACGAAGGAGGACATGTGGAAATACATGCGAAGTTCGACAAGTCCTGGACTACAACGCAGCTGTCCTGCGCGCATCCCCAAATTTCGGGACATATGACCAGACATGTAAGGTGGGACCGAGGACTATCCGATTGTCGCAGAAATGTTCATGTCTGCTGGCAGATGTATCGTTAAACATGTTCGTGCATATTTTCGACGGCTCCGAAGCTTAAATCAACACCGTGACCACGCGCGCGATGAATTCTCGGACATAATACTTCCGCCTTTGGTTGCTTACGTCCCAACATGAGGAAGTTAGAACCGTGCCGCTCGGCGAAGTCCATAAATAACTCCACAAGTATAGGTCGGCCGCGATGAACATATGACGCATACCGCGACCGAAGAGCCATGCTAATTTTCCGAATAATTGATCGAAAATATATCGACTTCTGTTCTTCCACCTGCGTAATCCTCGGTTAATTCCAGTAGATTGAACAACACAAAATCGTCCGTCGCGGCGACCTTCGTGCAAGCATCACGGACTTCATCTTCATGTTTTATGCTCCTGTCTAATACATGTGAGATACCAGTTACCTTGGCATCGGATTCTTTAGACATGAGCACAGAAAACAAGCCGAGTCTCTTGACAGAAAATGACGTGTCTTACAGGTATTCGTCAAAGCCCAGCGGGATTCGCGTCTTAGCAACAAGACACAGGTCCAGCATCGGAAAGAAGAGGAGCAGATCGCGTATCCGATGCATCAATACCCGTACTATGCGCCTTCCGACTCAAAAGATCACTCGAAGTATTGCCGTTAATGCCACTGGCAACATCCGGGGATATCAATGCGCAGCACGCCGCTTTTCGAAATGCAGTTTAATGCACCACGGAAATTCCATAAGTATGTAGCTGTTAACACCGGTTCTGGGTCATTTGTCAACCAGTCTCCTTCGGAAGAATCTCGTACGGAGACGCATGAATAAGAGTAAGAAGAAAAGGTGTATCACTCAGAAGAGCGTGCGTGACGGATTTAGCAACTAAGTAAGACGAGGTGCTGTCGCCACTGGTACTGCACCAGCTTGGCCTGTACGTACCTGCCGTAAAAGCATGTTGCATACGTCCGAATAGCGTCCTCGGCAATTTCCCATATGGCACCCAAGAGGTGTCATAAGAAGAGCATAGTTGTGATGTACTAAGCAGAAGGAGAGAGATTACGATCAATGAATCGTCGAATGACAGTTGGTTCTTACGACACGTGATGAGAACACGAACATTTCGAGCTGGCTCTGCAATCGGGGCAACATCACTTGTATCAGGCAAAGTGTTTGAAGTACATCGCAGAACGTATTTTTATTTGTCCAATCGGAGACCCGCTTCTGAATCGTTTTCTGAATGTGGCCCAATACGTTTGATCTAAATCAATGGTATGCAAGCAGTGAAAGTGCGATGTTCCTGAATACGTACAATTTGGAGTTATGTTTTCATTTGGACTTTGCAATCTATAGTGATCATCATGTTATGTTAGAGAAAAGATAGCATAGCACAGCAAACAATTCGTTATTAATATTCTAAACATTGCAGGCAGCATTCTGATCTTCCAATCAGAGATTCGCATCAAGATCAACTACAGCAGCAATTTCAGTATGTCGCACAGATATTGATTGCGCATCATATTACAATATGTCTGCAGATGACGGCAATATGATGTGGCTCATTCTCCCACAACAACTTTGCGCCTTGAAATATGTCTATAAAACGGGATAGAAACTGAGGGTAAGCATCATAGTGCACTCCTCAGATCAACAATGAGTCAACATAACAAAAACCATTCAAGAACACCTTCGGGAGCTTCAGTCGCATCTCGTCGCCAGCGCCGCGATTCAGATGCAGGGAGTGTCAAAGCAGGAAGACAATCTGGCCATGGCCATAGTAGAACGTCCAGTGCAGCCATTCTCCACAACATGGAGAAGCAGCTTTCACACACTCCAAGCAATAGTAATCATTCAAGAACTCCCTCATCCGCTTCTGCTTTGTCAGACGGTTCTATGGTGGAACTTGCACTATTTGCGAACTTTACACACCCTGAAGTGCAACACCTGATCCCTGAACTGTTGACTGTGTCAGACATGTTGCTCAAGATGTATGTACCACTGGACGGGATAGGAGCTATTGCTGAAGAACAAGGAGTGACTTTACCAGGCCTCTCAGAGTTACGTGGAAAGCTTGACAAGGTTAATGGTGACTTTGTAAAGCTGGTTGCTAATACAAGTAGTCAAGTGAACGATATAAAACAAGCTATCCGTGCCTTAGTAGAAGATTGCAAGGAAAGCCAGAGAGGTATGATGGAGGGTTCTGCATCAAACTAGACTGGCTATAATTTAGATAGTAAATAACAAGTAAACAGTACTATAATGAAATGATGATATAGAAAAGTTTACACAAGAGTTTTTGCATGACTTTATACACTATTATTATCTGTAGTTAACTTCTTGCCCTTCATTACATATTAAAGCTAGAAGGCTCTAGTATATTAATGAGACATGACTAGATATATAATTATGAGAAGTTTGTAATGTGTAAATACACTTGTAGCTCAGTTTGAAAACAATACAGAAATATGAGAGTAGAGTAAATTGGAATACTTACACTAAGTATTAAATAGATTTAACTAAACTGTATAGGTTTATATTTTACTATATTGAATAAGTCTATATATTATAGTAAGAGCAAGATTAGTACAGCTCAAATAATATAATGGTTACAACAGACATGTTTAAATAAGACATTATTATATTTTGATATATTATATTATTTTACAAAAAAGTCTATACAAACATTGTTAATGTTTTATAATATAATATAAACAGTTCTAGAACTTTACAGTAACTATAAAGTGTTAAAAGATCCTATTAGAGGAATGTGTACTTTAGGTTAATAGTATATTCTAACTGTGAATTCAGTCTACAGTTCTTATACTAACTATATTCTAAGCTACTAAGACAGGATTTTACACAAGGAACAAGAAGGATACAAAAAGAGTTAAAAAAACTAAGAAACTACTATATAAAATGAGTAGTTTTTATAATGTAGAAAGTGTTTAAAGGTGTAAGAATAAAATAAAAAAGACAATAAAAGTATAAGACAAAGAATAGAGTATAAAAAGGTAAAAATGAATAAAGAGAACAAGGAATATTTAGTAAACAGTTTGTGTAAGCTTAAGGAGTATAATACAAGCTTATTATATTTAAAGAAATAATAGTTACTTAATTAAGAGAACAGAGAATTAGTTAGACATGTAAGCTATATATAATAGATTGTAAAAGTGTGAGAGGCTCTCTTAGACTGAGTATTTAACCCTTTACCTTGGAATTTAGTAAAATAAATAATAAGACATTAAGGATAAAGAAAATAATAAAATAATTAAGAGTTTCAAAGTAAGAAAATTAAACAAAGCAGAAACAATAGAAGAGAAAGGTATTGAATCTTAATCCTAATTATACTTACTATATTAGTATTCTTGAGACAATTTTCTGTTGTACTTCTTATTTATCTCTTTCACATTTATAGTTAATCTCTTTCACAAGTTGTCTGTAGAAATGAACTATCTAAGAGTTTAAGGAATTGTTTGTACAAACTAACAGTTCTGAACAATACATGTGTATCTACACTACTTAGATACAGACTATTGCTTTAAAGTAAATGTTGTAAGAAAATAAAAAATGAGTGTGCATTCTGATACTAGATATCAAAATGTAACAGTGAAACAACAGGAAAACAACAGAAAGTATTAAAGACTTTCAAACAACAAATGTTAGTAACAGTATAGAGGGGTCCTGTAGGCTTAGTAAGGGGACCCAGGCTACAACTATCCTACACAACAGAAATACAGAATGTAAGTACTAGAACATAGTCAGAACTTGTAAAACAGACAGAGTGAGTGAGTAAGACAAGAGTAGAGTATATAGAGTGAGCCTAAGAGTATAGGACTATCTAGAGTAGACAAGATCAAGACTACAGGACTAGTCTGTGTTAGGAATTGTAAAATACAGTAACTAAGTTTGGAAAAGCTTAACTCAAGACTTGAGACTGAGTAGTTTATATACAAAACCCTATTGGTCACAAGTCTAGAGATTGGCCAGATCAACTAGGCTACCTTTGTTGTCCTGCTTAGTAAGAACTCTAGCTCAGCATTATTAACCTCTAATCATTACTAATGGGTGATCAATCCATCAGCAGAGAGAGGGGACAGGAAGGAGTAGGTACCAAGTCAGTTAGGAAAAGGTAACAAAACCTGAGGACAAGGTCTTTATCTCTCTAAGGTTAAACACATACTCTAGCACAGTATTACTTGATAACCTCAACCAAAGACAAGTCATTTAGAATGCTTGTATGGAGAGGGGATCTGGAAAGAGTATAGTGTCCAGAGCAAGAAGTATAAAGGAAAAGACTAGGAGAAAACCTGAAGAGATAAAAGGAAAATATTATACTTACTTACTACATAGCTAG